TTTTTTTGAGGCAACGAGTTTCCTCAATTTTTTTGAGTTCTGGGAACTAATTCGATTTTACAGTGTAGGCTTTACGGGCCTGCTGAACAATGCTTCCCTTTCAAAACCAGCACAATGTGTTGAATGTAAAACACTCCCATACTAAAGGCAGGTTAACAAAAAAGTAATCCCACAGCAGTATGGCAGCTGTTCTAGACTTTTCCACTGTTCATGAAAATAGGCTTTCTTGAATATAGGTGAGAAATACATGGTAAAACAAATCACTCTGACATGTCTCACATCATTGTTCATTAGAGCTTTTGTCTTTTCGCTGGAAAGTTGTTGTTGTTGTTTTTAAGTTTTATTACAGTTAACTAAAACTACACATGTAATTTTACTTTACCAAAATAACTACGAAAAAATATAAAAATAATATACAGGAAGTAACCTAAGCAATACTCTTTGTTGGAACAACCATCATTTAATTTGCTTATTGAGAGTTGCAGTTCTTCGTGAGTTAGCTTGTAGTTTAATAACTATTGTAAACCTCTTTAATATCGTATCACCGACAAATATCTCCTTATTTATTATATCCCTAACTCTATTACTAAGAAGACAAACTTGATAATGTTATTGTAATAACTCTAAAATAATATAAGCCACCTTCTGAGGGAAATCTATTATTACCTTATTACCTAAGTCAATATGATTAAACTAACAAGAGTGTAGACAGCAGCTTTAGCATGTACCTAGACTAATCAGTGTATGGAGAGCAAAGGCAGACAGCAGTGAATAAACACTCTGTAAATTGGAAGGTTTAACGTAATGACACTGCACGTGTCCCTGCTGATGTGCAGCAGACAGCATTAAAGCTCCTTTTAGGTGAGCCATGATAGGCTGTCGTGGGAGCTGCCTCCGGGATACACCCACCAGCCCCAGCAGGCTAAATAAAGATGGGCAGTTAAGAGTTCTTTCAGATTATGTATATTTTCTCAGTTCTCCAAAACAATCCCGGATTATACAAACCTGTATCGTGGCCCTGAGACATGAGCTGCAGCGATCTGTAGTTTAAAATGATCGAGTGGTTAAATGTGATGCTTATCAGCGATTCATTATGAATTAACACAGGTTCCTTATCTCATCTCGCCCCCCCTTAAAACGCATTTAAATTGCTGCAGAGACACAGGTGCTTTGTTTCCTTTATGTAATACTGGATAGCAGAGGAACATGAGCAACTTCCGGATGCCAAATTTTCATCCCTAAATTATTTAAGAAAAAAATTCAAAAAGAGGAAGGAAAAATAAAAGGAAGTCAGACAGTACCAGAAGAAAGCCGAGCGTGGTCAAATCTCTCTTTCCAAGTCGATGATGCTTGTCCTTTATAGACACACCGGCTGGTAGCTCTTCTGTTTTGTGCAGTGGGAAGGCAGTGTCGTGGCTCTTTCAATGCGTGACTGCGTCACGGTGAGATGGGGTACGCCTACATGTTGCAATTCACGCAGTAATTGCATTATTACCAGACAGCAAGTATTATATCACTGAAATAAAAATGTATTTTTCATTCTCTTTAGGTATTTTTATTAATTCATGAATAAATAAATTACTTTTTTAAAATTAATTTCTAAGTTTATTTTTAATGTTCCGTCCAGAATTTATTGAAAGCACTTCGTCTGGGATCCAACGGTGAGTCTAATTATGCTTAAAGATGTACATTTAAAAAAATACTGTTTTGTATGTTTTCGATAAACACGTTAACTTCACACGTGCTTTGCCACGTGCCGCTTTACATTACACGCATGCGTACTAATCACTTCGCCATGGCGGACGCTGGCTGGCCGGGCTGTGCTAAGAGTTTAAAAGGTGTCATTTTGGACCTGTGTGGAGTTTTATATGACAGCGGGGAGGGCGACGGAGTTGCAATTCCTGGCTCGATAGAAGCTGTGAAAAAGTGAGTGAAAATTTTCACGTAGAAATTTGATTAACTTTACGTCTTCAGTTTGCATAGCTGTCAAAGTCCGTCACTCAGACTTAATGATGTATGTGACCACCTGCTTTGCCCTCCTGACCTATTGAAAGGCTCAAGGAATCCGACCTGCAGCTGCGATTCTGCACAAATGAGACCCAGGCCACCAGAGAGAAGTTTGTAGCCAAGCTTCGAAAATTGGGCTTTGACATCTCTGTATCTGAAGTCTTCCCTCCTGCGCCTGCAGCCATAGCTGTTCTCAAAGAAAGAGGTTTACGTCCTCACTTGCTGGTGCATGATGGTAAGGTTCATATTTGAGCATCTAAAGTTTTCATACCACTTTTTAGTTGCTTGTGTTCTAAGAGTGCACTTGGAATAAATGCACATTAAAAGCCCTGGTATAATATATGTGAGGAGTACATAAAGGGTTTTTTCTGTTACATTCTGGTGTTAAATTCTAAACTGACTCATTTAATCTCAAGTCATCTTGAGTGTTCTGCTGGACCACGTCTAACTTGGCTATTGAATGGAACTTAAATTGTCTTATAAGTAAAACAAGACTTGTCTTATAATAATAATATTATATTATATATAATATGATTTACTTGGTAAAGTGTCCCCTTCTGCAGCATAAGACATTACTTATTCTTACAAATACCTGGCATGAATCCATATACAGTATATAACATATATTTGATGTATGAAACTAAAATTTCACAATAATCATTATGTCCATTGTGCCCAAATTTTAAATCATAAAATATTCAGACTAATCAAAGTGGGTTGAGCTGAAAATTATTTAATAATTTGATGATTTTAGATGCATAACCCATTTATGACTGACTTTGCTCCTTCTCTGCAGGACTTCTCCCGGAGTTTGACAGTGTTGACAAAACCAACCCAAACTGTGTGATTGTAGGAGATGCAGCTGAAAATTTTTCCTATCAGAACTTGAACGAGGCTTTCAGGGTCCTCATAGGTCTGGAAAAGCCGGTGCTTTTCTCCCTGGGCCAGGGGTAATTAAATATAGCCAACCGACATTACTCTATTGCTTATTCCAAGTAACGCATCATTATATAATGAAATGTATTTATAGATGTTAATCTTTCTTCATAGGCGATACTACAAGGAGATGGATGGTTTAAAATTAGATGTTGGTGTTTACATGAAAGCTCTGGAGGTAAAATAGGTGCACCGATATTTTGATATATTTTTTTTAGAGTTCAGTGGAAATAAATAAGTTATTTTTAATGTTGGCTTTTTTGTTCTTTTTAGTATGCCTGTGATTTAAAGGCAGAAGTAGTTGGAAAACCTTCCCCGACATTCTTCCAGAGTGTTCTCAATGATATGGGCCTTAAACCACATGAGGTATGCAGCAATACATGGCCCTGCATGTTCACAGAGCACAAGTTAGGATGGAAAAGTTTACTGTCAGTTGTGCAATAAAGGCCAGCTGCCTTTAGTTCTTGTTTTGCAGCTTTGCTTTGTTGAGCTTGTTCCTCTGTGCTCTGACGCTCCTGTTACAGTTTTTTCAACAAATTATGAACCAATGACACAATGTTTTTTTCTAGTTTTGCATCTGTACTCTACCACACTTTAGTCACATATAGCTAAATTTACAAACTTTCAGCTTTATATTTTTTTATTTTCTTTTTTAAAAATAATAATCCTGTCATCATGTACTTTAGTTGTTTTCTACAGTCTTTCAGGCCTCTTGGTGTTGCTGAGCTATCCAGTGTTTTCATTCATTTTAAGAATGTACCAGAGTGTTGATTTAGCCACTCTTAAAGATTTCCTATCTCTCTGATGGGTCTTTTTTGTCTTTTAAGCCAAAATATGGGCGTCAGTGGTTTCAACAACATGTTATTAATATTTCAAATGACAACTAAAAGCTGCACAATACGATTTCAACACATCGAATCAACTATATCACTATATCTGCTTTTGTTTCTTATAAGTCTGATATCATAGGTTTCATTATTGAAAGTATTTGTAAGAATAAGCATTGTGTTGTGTTGTATGAGAAGAATGCAAAAGAAGACACTTTAACAAGTAATTCATATTATGACACAAGTTTTGTAATACTTGTGAAATTATAATATATAACAGATAAACATGGTCTTTTGATTTGATTGTAAAATTCCTACAGGTGTTTTTTGTTACTTTTTCATGTAGAGGAACACATGCACTGCAAATCCAACACACAGACACAAGAATGTTAACGAAAGTTTCAATAATCTCAGTATAAGTTTCAGTCTAGTAATTTTCCTTCTTTCTCAGATACACGGATGTATCTAACAGCTAACTTTGCCATCCTCTCCAGAGCACTCATTTACTCACCCAGGCTCTTTTCCTTGTTTGTCGAGTCACCCACTTAAAAAGCTCCCTTACAGACCCACTGTTATTCTCTTCTTTGTTTCTTTAAGAAATGCCTTCTTAGAATCATTGAACAACGGCCTGTTTGGCCCAGTCAATTGATACTGCACTCCTCCTGTGTTCAAGGAACACCCTGTACCAGCTCTGACTCCGCTTTCATCAGCTTCCCCTCCTTTCTTTGTGCCTCTGCTTCATTAATAAAGTAAAGTAGTTCCACGGTTTGACCTCACTGAGCATGCAAAGCAGGTCTAGGGTATGGATGTTTTTAAAACGTGTCTGCACTAGGTTCTCTTAGGAGTCTGTGGCCACCTCTTTTTGCCCTTGACACACTTACATTGAAGGAGGAAAAAAAGCTGCTCCTGTTTGATCTTGCGAGTAGCTTAAGTAGTCGTATTTTATTTAAGTTAGTGGTGCTGGTTGAATTGTTAATCCCCGTTTTTGTTTTAATTCTCTGCACTATATTTGTTCTAATGTGTCTCCTTTTTGTTTTTCTTGTGTTGTAGAGAGCCCATCATGGGTTGCTCCTTTATTTTTGTCCTCATCCCCCTTTGTGGCTTCTTTAGTGGGCAGCGGTGCAAAAGGTTGGTCACCTGAGTCAGTTGGGATGACGACTAAGCAGTTTTTGAAAGGAAACATGAGTAGAATGGAGGCCTTGATGAAACTGATCTCCTCAAGCGCTAATGAAGCTTAGTAAGGAAGCAAGAATATCAGAGAATAACTTCTGGCAGCTCGGTGCAGTAATGATCTGTAGTGTATCCAAACGTTCAAAAACATACTGTAGTGGTATTAACAAGTGATAGAGTTGGTTAACCACAAAGGACAAAGGGTCAAGTATTGTGTCATCAGTTGCACAGATTATGGAGCTGCTGTTTTCTCTTTCTTCTCCCTTCTCACGTTCAGGTGCTGATGATTGGAGACGATCTTTTAAATGATGTAGGTGGGGCCCAACATTGTGGAATGAAAGGTGTGCAGGTGCGGACTGGCAAGTACAGGTCAGTGTTATCCTAAATCTACAAATATGCTATGTGAACTGTGATTTGTCTGTGTTGGGTAACTGTTTTATCTAACGGTTACAGTCAGTATGTTCTGTCCTGAATAATCCATGTTCTTACTGTCTGTTTTACTTATCTGTTTAATTATATGGTTTTTAGAGATAAAAATAATAGAAGTAAATATTGTCATCGGCCATGTTGCTGCTACTCTTCTTTTCATTTCATTTTATTTCATTTAATTTTTTGTTTCACAGATGGTACGTAAGCTGCTTATTAACAAATATCTAATAATTTAATCACATAGCAGCAAATCAGTGTATTTTAGGCATGAAGATATGATCAAGGCGGCCTACTAAGGTTGAGTTTGAGCATCAGAATGGGGGAGACAGGCAATTTAAGTCACTTTGATCGTGCTGTGGATGTTGTTGTGAGACAGGCTGGTCATAAACTGCTGATTCAATGGGATTTTCCCACGCAACCAAGTGTGCAGTTTACAGGCCCTAGAAAGAGTAAATATCCAGTGAGCGGCAGGGTAAAAAGTACCTTGTTGATACCAGAGGTCAGTGGAGAGACTGCTGGAGCCGATAGGAAGACAGTAACCGTTAATCCAATAACCACCAATTACAACGAAGGTATACAGAGGTGCATCTCTGAATGCAAAACACGTCAAACCTTGATTGACCACACTGGCTGCCTCTCTTGTAAGCTAAGAAAATGAATTCACACACAAAAATCTCTGAGCGCAGTGTTTCCAGCACCTTTTTGTATCTATGCCACAACGAATCAAGGCAGTTCTCAAAGCAACATGGGGTTCAACTAGTACTAGCAAAGTGTACCTATTAGGGTTTCTGTGAGTGCATTTTAAAAAAAAATGTCTTTGCAAGAAGCTGCTTAGTTTGTCCACAAGGGGGCAGCATTACACCAGATTTGGGGCGCTATGTTTCCTTTGTAATGAACAGGCTTCCTGTGAGTCAGCCACCATATTCTTAAATCCTCAGATTTGTTTATTTGATTGAGAATCTGCCAGAAAAGGCTTTATTCTCTCCACATGTAGATGCTCGTTGCCCGCAAGGTCGCAGTCACCAAAGGATTTATAGTCCCAAATCTGGGGAGTACTGGGGCGCCTTCCTTATGGTGTAATTACGGAAATTTATGGTTGATTATTTTAGAACCATGTGGTACTTACAGTTTAAAGAAAAGAGAAGAGTTTCTGGGTGTAAGAGAGGATGTTGGTATAGAACTACATTATGCCATATGTACTGTTTACTATAATTTTAGTATGTCTGCAGTTCTGGTAAGTAATATAAATGCTTTACCCTTTATATGCATGTTTAGGGATATGTGAGAAAAGTGATGACGTTTTTTTATTTCTACCTTACTCTTGCAGCTTATGCAGGTTTTCCCCAAAGTAAAATAATTGCTACAAACAAAATTGTGGGCTTTTAATGTTTACCTTTGTCTTAACGTGAGTAACCCTTATGTAAAGATGGATAGCTAGCAACTGTAGCTGTCAGATGCATGCAACAGAATAAGAATATGGAAATATTTAAATTGGCTGCAAACCACGCATCAATCTGACGAGTGCCCTTCTTTATTACCTGCCCTGCCAACGTAGACTGGCATGCAGGTTGCGGTCATGTGACCAGAGAACGCTGAGTAATCTGCTTGAGCATCACTCAGCATTAATCCTTAGCTAAGAGCATGGTCACTCATTATAAAAGCTGCCCTCTGTCTGGGCAGTCATTCGTTCAGAGAGAGACAAACCTGCACATCTCTGCGGCAGTATGCATGTTTAGCTTAGAAGCCAAGTGGGCTGAACTTTTTCTACTGTGGAGTCTCAGTGGAGTAAGCACATGAATTCATCTGGTTTGTGTGACTTCATGCTTGTCATGTCTTCATGTTTGTGTGCTGACACTCTGAACAGTGTCAATTCAACTAAACAGGATAAAACAGATTAAATTATATCACTGCCTAACCATGTTTTGTGGAGAAGGCATCTGGTTATAGATTATCCAAGGCAGGGATAGCTCAGTAGGTAGAGTGGTGGGCCCCATGATCGGAAGGTCGGGGGTTCGACTCCACTGAACGG